TTAATAAGATTGGCATATAATTATTTCTGTTATTTTTATGAATATTGTCGTTAACAGTTGCGCGAATAATTGAAGGAATTTTTGAAAAATTAACAATGAATCGTTGGAATAAATAAAACAAAATTAATAACATCTCCCGTTGTATATTACTACTACTTCTTTTACTACTAATACTACTGCTGTTATTACAACTTCTACTGTTTCTAATGTTTCTACTAACATTATGAAAGTATAAAAATACATATTTAAAGTAAAAATACCAACATTACATTATTGTAAAAGAAATTAATGATACTCCCAAGAAAATATATTTCGGCATTAAATGACTCATTAGGATTTGATTGGTCGTTAAACAATGCACCACACTACTGCTTCTACTACTATTATTGCTACTATTACTACAGCTAATAATAATAATAATCCGTGCCAAAAAAAAGGCCATAATTATGCAAGAGAATTCTGGTTGAATCTTGAAAACTGCGCTGAATTAGAATACAACTAACAAACCCGCAAGAACACTGAAACAAGAAGAAAAAAAAAGCGACACTTAAATGAAATACTAGGTTGGACCTATAGCATAGTTGGTTCCTTCTACGAAGTAAAAATTCTGATGTCGATCCATTCAAAATTCACCAGTGGCTCGGCAGTTCGGTATTTAATGCTTTTCTATAAATACAGTGATGATAATTATTTGGATCAGCTTTTTGCAATGGAGTTGAATGAGTGCGTGTTTGAGCGTGAGGTTGGAATGAAAGAATATTTTATATTATTAGAGTCTCGCATTGATTTCATTCAGTTAACTGATGTTTCTGTCGCATTTAAGGATTGTGGGATTTTTTTTTTATTACTAACTTTATTTTGTTTAGTTACTTGTAAACCGATTTGTATTCATATTGTGAAATACTCACTGGGGCTAGGTTTTAGAATTTTCTTTTTATTCCACTTCCTGCACAGATAATGAACTTGTATAAATGGGGACTTGTTAGTATTTTAACGTTAAGACAGAAGACCGTCTTTTTCTCCCCCTTTCCCCATTTTGGCCGTGTACCCCATTTTGTAAATAAATTCACAAATAAATACCAATCTTTGTTATGGACTTGAATGAGTGTGTGTTTCAGTGAGTGCTTTTTTATTATTAAAGCCGCGCATTGATTCCGTCCAGTTAACTGATGTTTCTGTCACTTTTAAGGATTGTGGGGTTTTTTTTTCATTAGGTTGGTGCAAAAATAATGGCGTAATAATGTCGTTTTGTGACGTATTTTTAAACGTCAAAAAAAGACATTATTACGTCATTATTTTTGCACCATCCTAATATTACTAACTTTATTTTATTTGCATTCTTGTAATACTGTTTTCATGTTGTAAATACAGATTAGATTTTAAATTGTTGTTTTATTCCCCGCTCCACAGGCAATGAATTGTACATCTGGTGACTAGATAGAACTTCATGGAGATTCTGAGATATTATGGTGGATTAAGTAAGAATGGTAAGTAAGAACGTCTTGTTTTGGTGTAAAGAATTTTGTTGTGTGTTTGAGTCAGTGTTTGTGACTAGCGAAGCTTAACGTTAAGACAGAAGAAAACAGTCCTTCTCCCTTGTGGCCCTGTGCCATATTTCTGTATATAAGTGGAATAAATATCTCTCTTTCATATGGACTTTATTTTATTTTATTTATTTATTTTTTTTTTTGTTGCCTGGACTTTATTTTCAAATTTAAGCTCAATATTAGACTGGCATGAAGGTCTCTTCAGTTCATTGTTGAGCTGGCTAGATTAACCGTCAATTCTAACAGTTCCTTTGCTTGGACGTCTCGTTTGCGGAAATACCATCCGTCTCCATGCTTTTTCTGCCAACATTAATCTGCAAAAATTTAAATGCAGTGTCCATCACTAGCTACCGTGCGCCTGATTACTCTTTTCTCTTCCTGCTTATTATTAATGTTTCTGTTCCTAATTCTTCCACGCCCACTAAAACCTTGTGTCTTAGTGGCTTTTCTGATCGGGGTGAAATCGATTAAAAAGAATATAGCGAAACTAATGGATGTGTTCTTGCTGAACTGAGCCGGCTTATAAACGCAACCACCAAGCTAATATCTTGCATAATAATACAGGCCCCAAAAGTAGGATATCTGACCAATAGATTGAAGCTATAGATCACCTTATCTCTGGATGGTAAATGCCTACACCCACTCAATAGGAAAAGCAAAATGACAGGATAAGTTAATAACTGTAGTGGAAGATCTGTCATTACTACGGAATAAAATAAAAACAGCTGCAAACTGTTATGGAGATCATCCTGAATCTTTAGTTGACGGAGGTGATGTTGCCATCCTCTGGGAATTTTTTTTTATCAACCCAGATCGAACAATAAAACAAACACAAAAAAATAAGTTGGCATGAGCGTACCAAATTATAAAAATACATCTGCAAAGTATATGACGAACTAAGAAACAACAAAGACCTGTTAATGGAAATAGAAAAAATGTGGTATTTAGAAACTAAATATTTTCATGTTGATGGTTGGAACGGAGAAAGCCACTATTGCACCATCTCTCCAGGAAATCCCCCCCAAAATTGTTCCAACCATCACAGAGAATATCCTGCGAAGAATTTTGTTCATTTAAGTTTGTTTTTTTTCGTTTAAGTGACTGAAGTCGAGATGCCAGTTCAGAATCGATGACATTAGAGATTTTTTTGAAGTTTTTCAAGGATCTCGAGAGATATATAGCAGCACCAAACAAGATATGGCAGCAGCATTCAATGAACTGGCGAATAGTATAGTTATAAATGCATAAGATTGATTCTGGCGAGACAAAATTTCTGGCACGATGAAGTAAACCAACTTTGCTAGCGGTTGACCTAGCAATTCATTGAATATAACTAACCCCCGACTTCATGTCAGTGGAAGCTATTCCTTCCAGAATACAAAAATTGCAACATAACATTTTCTGCGCAGCTGCAGAAATTGCCTGCTGTCTGGTGCAACGTGACAGAGAGCCATTTAAATCATGCCCGCTGTATCGAAACTTCATCTTCGTAATTTCAATAATAATAATAATAATCTAAATACTGAGCTAAACTCAAAAAACAGAATATCAGCCATAAACACATTGGCTGTCCCTGTGGTGCAATACAGCTTTAATGTCCTTAACATAGCCATAGCTGAAATTAAGCGAATGGACGCCAAAACGAGAAAGCTTCTCATTTGAATCATCCCAAAGCTGATGCTGATCGTCTGTATGTGCCCAGATCCGGAGGAGGCAGAGGATTAGTTCAACTTGAACTGTCCTACAAAACTACAACAATTGGCCTCTAAAGTTACTTGGAAACTACAAAAGACTGGATGATTGTATGCGTCAAGGAACATGAAAGTAGTAAGCGTCTTTACTCCGTAATAAAAGAAGCCAACAAATTCAAAGTGGAGTTTCAAGTGGGCGTAGAGATGCAAGTACAGCACAATACACCGGCTGAAACTTCAAAATACTTAAAAAAAGACAGCAAAGACGAATGCAACCGACCAGATACAGAAGCGATGGCAAGATAAACCGCTTCATGGCCAATACTCTGCCCGTACCAAACAAGCTGACGTAGACAAAACCCGTACCCATCAGTGTCTATGTAGTGCAGGGTTGAAAGCTGAAACTGAAGGTTTTATCCTTGCTGCACAGAACCAATGCTTGCTAACTAGGAATTATCAAGCACATATTTTGTGTCAGCCCAAAATGCAGATTCTGTGATAAATATCCAGAAACGATTGATAATCTTGTATCAGGTTGCACGATATTGGCACCCAGTGAGTATAAAACCCGGCATGACACAGTGGGCCAATATCTGCACTGGAAAATCTGCAACTTCTACGGGAAGGAAACTGAAAGAAACTGGTATGAACACCACCCAGACCCGGTTACGGAAATAGGACGTGTTACAATTCTATGGAACTAAACAATACACACTGACAGAACAATCAAAGCCAACCACCCAGACATTGTTATTAAAGTCTAAAAACAAAAAATGTACATCCTTATTGATATGGCAGTCCCTGCTGACTGCAATGTATCTTTGAAGATATTCAAAAAGCTGTCAAAATACAAGGACCTTGAAATAGAAATCTCAGAAATGTGGCATATGGGAACATCAACAATCCCTGTTGTAGTTGGAGCCCTAGGACTCGGAAAAGATTGCAGTAGACTAATTGAAGGGATTCCTGGAAGTCCATGCCTCAAGGCGATACAAAAAATTGTTCTGGCAAGTACAGCCCACACTTTACGAAGGGCTTCATCTATGTTATATTTTTTTTTTTATTTTGTCAGTGGAAAGTGTCATGATGCCAATTCTAACCTTAGGTCCCTGGGCAGGACCCGGAAAGAAATGTGTAAACGCTAGAAATCAAAGATGATGATGATGATGATGATGATATAATGGAATATGCATACATCTGTGTTCCCCCTCACTGAAATATAATTGGCTGGTGTCCGTCATAAATACCGACGGACGTGTAGGACAGTCAAAAAGCCTTAGTCTGAGAGCTAAGTCTATAACGACGCCCATTGGACTACGCCATTGATCCACACTTCTTACCTGCGACTGCGACGCGTACCAGTCGATTACTGCTACCGTATTCTACTTGATTATAGTAGCCAAAATCACTTTCCTACTTCGTTCACATATATTCCTGTCCGGGACATATCCAATAATAATAATATTAATAATAATAACCTTTCATGAAGCATAGTAAGCATCATAAACAGTATAAGAATTAGCCATTTTATTAATTGCTACCATTATTGGAAGTTGTGTAAAAATACGGGTTTAGCTGTAATGAAAAGGTTTATGAACATGAGATCACGTAGAAGAAAGTGCTAGAGAATAGTGAAGTGAAAACCCTGTGCGATTCTTCGATACAGAAAGTGATCACTTTAGAGTACAATAAACCGGATTTAATCCTGATGGACAAACAGAAAAAGACTTAATACCTAATATAAATTTCTACTCAGTTGCACATGGGAATTGAACACAAAGAAAAGAAGATCAACTTCTTCTTCTTCTTCCTCTACTCCTCCTCCTCCTTATTCTTCTTCTCCTCCTCCTCCTTCTTCTTCTTCTTCTTCTTCTTCTTCTTCTTCTATGTGCTATGTCCTTCAGTCATTGATCTCCACAATTTCCTGTCTTTTGTAACTCTTAATAAATATTGTCTTTTTGTTATCTATTTTAAAACCGGTTCTTCCATCCATTTACTCATGCTTGTTCTTCTCATTTCAAGACGTAGGTGATAATGGCTCTCCACAATTTCCTGTCTTTTGCAGCTTTTGATATTTTTTTTTCTTTTTGTTATGACTCCTAAACCTTGTTCCACTATCCATTTACACAAGGTAATTCTTCAGGAGGGGAACGATCATGGATCATCTACTTTGTAGCTCTTAATAAATTTTGTCTTTTTCTCATCTCCCCTAAACCTCATTCCTCCTTCCATTTACACAAGATTATACTTCTATGTACCGTGTCCCTTCAGGACGTGAGCGATCATGGATCTGTTCAATTTCCTATACTTTGTAGCTCTTAATAAATTTTGTCTTTTAGTTATCTTTCCTAAAAACGGTTCTACGATCGATTTACTTATGCTTGTTCTTCTTTTATATACTGTGTCACTTCAAGACGTAGGTGATCATGGCTCTCCACAATTTCCTGTCTTTCGTAGCTCTTAATAAATTTTGAGTTTTTGTTATTTCGCGTAAACCTTGTTCCACCACAATCCATTTACTCATACTCATTCTTCTTCTTCTTTTTCTTCTTCTTCTTCTTCTTGTTCTACTACTACTACTACTACTTCTTCTTCTATGTAACGTGTCCCTTCAGGACGTTGGAGATTATGGATCTCCTCAGTTTCATGTGTTTTATAGCTCTTAATATATTTCATCATTTTACTATTTCTCCTAAACTTTTGACCCCCGTCCATTTACTGAAGCTCGCTGGGTAAGTTATGCTTTGTTTTCCTATCTCCCTCTTGTGAGTATTAAATTTTCCAAGCCCTCTTTCTTCATCATATACCCTAGAAATTTCAACTGTCTCTTTCTGGTGTCAAGCATAATTTTCCGTTTCATTTCCATTTTTTTCTAAAATTTCGCCGTTGCTTCGATATTCAATCCATGGTATTCTCACCATCCTTCTGAATAGTGATTTTCTAAGCGCTGCTTAGATGTGGCACAAGGCCTGAAATATGGAGCACCCAGTGAGAACTCACTACTCAGTCGTGATATGTTCTAGAGAGACAAGCTGGCTAACCATTAAACCACGCCGAGGTGCTCCACCATACTTCTGAATAATCACATTTCTAGAGCTTCAAGTCTCTTCTTCATTTGTAAGGAGATTGCCCAGAATACACTTCCTTATAAGATATTTTCCATTTATTTAAATTGTTTTATTTATGTATCTTTCTATAGGTCCACATCCCTGTTACTCTAATCTCTCCTTCATTTTGTGGAGATTGTCCAGCAACCGTTGCCATGTGGGAGGAATGATACTACGTAAGAGTCTAGTACTTTTTTTTCTGTGTGTCAAACGGAATTTGTCCTATTTCTTAATACTTTGCTTAGCTTTTGGAAGTTATCTTATTTTCTTATTTCCATTGTAAATATTTATATTAATACGAAGCCGTAAAGTTATTAGCAAATATTCCTTACAGGCAAATGATGTTGAAATTGGTATTCTATGCCTAGAGATATTCTAATAGAATAACACGGTAAATGCAGATATATTAATGACGTTATTACAATGCTCAATAATATATATATATATATATATATATATATATATATATATATATATATATATATATAAATACTGAAGCACGATCAAGTCAATCACTACTTTTAACCCTGGTCTAGCAAGAACCTGAAAACATTCTCATCATTAAAACCAACGTCTCCCAAAATGAAATATCACACTTTTCAAAAGGATTTAACAAGCTCAGTTGATATTTTTTTTTTACAATGATATTCAACAAGGAGAACTATGAATATAGAAAACTGAGGAATAGTGTCCTGAGATCTTGTATAGTTCATTGTATTCGTTTTTCGCAAAGTATGCATTGTCCTGCACATTTCTTTACCACTATGATCAAATCAGCAGAGGCTAGTCTTTTGGTTCTAAGATCTGATTTTCTGGACTCTTCAATTTCAAACAAACCAACTAGACTGTACAGATATTTAGCAGATGTAGACATAACATAAGGCACCGGACTAGCGTATTGGTTTACTTGGGAATCATTTTCTTCTTCTTTTTTCCTACTGAACCCGACCTTTGCAATACGACTGTAGTTTAACCCACCCACGTTTTTTTTTTTTTTTTTTTTTAATTTCTTTTCCCTGTGTAGTTGTGGTTATTCACGGGTTTGTTAATGAGATTATTTTTAATGAAATTATTCTTTCCGTGATGCTTTAGAGTGATCACGGGTCATATGAATCCAGCTCATCCTTTTTGTCATTTTCCGTTCAAGGCGTCGGAAGATCGAGGGTGCCTAAAACCTAGAATCACGACTGGAGCCGGTCTTTCATAAGATTTAACGTTTTTTTTTGCTCGCGGTAAGCAGTGAAGGTTTCGATCACTTTACTATGTAGATAAGTTTCATTTTACGCTTTTCTTCCTCCTTTTTTTTCAGTTTTGTTGTCATTATTCGAGACTTTATCTGGATGAGAGTTTTAGGTTTTGGCAAATGTTCCGTTCGTTTCACCAACCGTTTTTTGTTTTTCTTTAATACACACACACACACACACACACACACACACACACACACACACACACACACACACACACACACACAAACGCATGTATTACATATTAGAAACATGCCGGGACGGATCCCGGTTCGCAATAATGAAATTCTGGATTCCTAAGTATTCGCTACAGCGATTGTTTTTGGATTCTGTCATGTTGGCTGATAAAAGCAATTAAAGGGAGACAACTCTCTAACTTTCAATAGCTCACGTTCAAATGACCAAATTACAGTGTTTCAAAATAAAAATGTCCGTGTTTTCAAATTTACTCCTAGAGCCCGTAGGCCAACATATATATGCTTTTGGAATCAGGCCGAGTCCGTGAGCAAATTAATACCGTACCTGGCTGGATCCGGACACAAAAACTTGAATTTTTGGATTTCCCAAGGTTTCATTAACAGAGATTGCTTTTGGCGATTTTTTACGTGATTTTTTTTTTTTTTTTTTTGCGCCAATTTTTTTTGTACGATAACAATTCTTATGACTTGGAACTAACTTTGGAAATAATCGAAATTAATTGCGAAATCCAGCGAAAATCACCCATGAAATAAAAATATTTTTTATACGGAAAGTAAAGACCTAGGATCTTTAAACAGTCCTTAAATTATGTAGCAGCAGAAAAATTATTGTTGCAGTTTTTAAAAGTCAAACTGAAAAATTAAAGCAATACTTAAATAAAGCGATCCATTTTGAGTTCTTGTGTAGTTTATAGCAGCCTGTGGCATCTGCTCCTCCCAACCTATTGTGATGAAGGCCCAATCAAGAGTCTTCTGCTTTATATATATATATATATATATATATATATATATATATATATATAATTGTGTGTGTATGCGATAGAAATTATTAGAAGGATTTGAGATAATTATAATTAAGTAATTCATCGAGTCGAGAAGAAACCTCAACAGGATGCAGAAAGCACTGGATGGCCGTTTCGACCTATATTTGGGACTATTCAGCAGTGTAGCATCCACTACCGAGAATTGAAACCCGGACAGTTATAATTACTTAATTATAATATATATACATATATATATATATATATATATATATATATATATATATGTTTCAACCTGTACAAGGCACTAACTGGGTTACAGTATAAGAGACACGCTTATGCAGATAAAGGAGGGAAGATAACGGTCGACCTTAGAATGGAACAGGTTAACATTGTAGTGTACAGAGAAACATGACCTTGAGAGTCGGTTCCACAGACTCACAAAAGACAGAAAATTGTGGAGAGCCACAACTGCCAACGACTTGAATGAACTTGGTCCATAGAAGAATAGGTTTTAAAGAGTTTTAAATATACAGGGTAAATTAAACTCCCTATTTTATATATGATGGACACTCCTAAATAGGGAGTTACTTTTCAATCACCCTGTAGTTAATTCTTTTTACTTATATTTGTTCTTTATCTCTTCTTTTCTCTTGTGTGGCGATTTCTCTACAAAGATTAAACCTCAAGCCAGCGTTCAGAGTTCAATCCGCTCATCAGTACGCACTTTGTTATTTATATTTCCTCGTCTAAATTTCGTTCTTCTATTTGTAAAGTAATTTTCTAAGTGTAGCTCAATTGTTGCACAAGGCTGAAAGTATGGAGAATCCAGTGAGAATCAAACTTCCTATAAAATCGTAACTGATCTAGCGAAACCAGCTTGTTAACCATTAAAATTCGTCGAGGTGCCCGATTCTTTCGTGACTGTGCCGTTGAAAGGAGATGGGCGCCAAATACCAGTTCTTATTAGTACATTAATGAAGGTGTCTTCTTCTGTATGCTACATCCCTTCGGGACAGGCAATCATGACTCTCCAGATTTCCTATCCCGTGTATCACTGAACAGTTTTCTACCTTTGTTACGCCATCTAACCCCACAATCCTGTCACGCTCTTTCCCTATCTCCCTTTCCTTCATATGCCTCTTGAGTGATACATTTTCTAAACCCTTTTTCCTCATTTTAGGACCAAGTAATTCCAGCTGTCTTTTCCCGATTCTGAGTATAATTATTCTGTCTGCGTCTATTATCCTTAAGGATTCCTCGTTGACTATACGATCCGTCCATAGAATTCTCAGTATCCTTCTGTAGAACCACATTTCTGCTACGACTAGATTTTTCCATGAGGAAATTGTCAAACATTCACTGCCATATCAGAGCATAGATTTCACATAGTACTCTCTTTCAATCAATCAAATTCTGTCTAATTATTAAACGACATTTTCTAAGGTTGTGTTGCAGCGGTTCTGCAATCTTTACGGTGTGCGTTTGATTTGTTTTGTTTTATTCAACTCCTTATGGGTTATTTAATAACGAAAGTTCATTTTTCAGAGCTGTGAAGTAAAAAAAAATGATATATGTTATTGAGCTTTCACAATTTAATACATGGTAGGTGATACTCAGCATTTATGCGCATTCATGTTTGTGTAGTGAGAACTTCTAGAGCCGGTAATATGCGTGATTTATATTGTAGCTTTACTGAAATTATATTTTGGAATAGAGTTTGATTTCTTTAAGAAATTTTTGGATATTATATAAATTAATGTCATGAAAGAGTTCTTTCATATTGATTGATATGTTGGTCGATTGGCTTAGCGGGACATCAGCACTTCTGTAGGTTATTTAATGCAGAAAACTATGGTTTATTTAATGCCGAAGTCTATATCCCGAAAACTATGAGTTCTTTTATTGTCGAAATCTAAATATTTTGAACACAATTTTATGGATTCAGCTATATTTTGATCAAACCTGTATGCTTTTAACTACAGCTAAAATATATTGTTGGTCATTTGGCTATAAAATGTTTTGTCGGTAATTCTACTAAGAAAAGGTATTGGTCAATTTCTTTTCAGATAAAAATGTATTTCTTGTAATTTTCTTATAAAAATATATATTTTTTATATTTTCATAATATTTTGTATTTGTTTGGAGGTTCACTATTTGACCGTAGCTGGGCCCTGCCAGGTGCTACGCCAGCGGATCAGGATGGACTTTGAACAACAGGCAATTAAGTGATGTTTCCACGCTGCTAGAAACCTCCAATCTCCCGATTAGAAGCCTTGCTGCCGGATTTAGTTTATCGTTATACCAATGATTAGATAAATTTTGAGCAACAAGGTTTCATCAGATTTGCATTAATATCGGCAATATATCATCCGATATAAAACTATTTATCAGCTTCCTGCTAAAATTCTTGTGTTAACTGTTTAGCATTTATTAATTCTAAACCGTGAATGTTTATGATAGATTCAGGGTATGTGCCGTCTTTGCTTTCATTCCAATTCCAGATCCTAGTTTCTGTTTACGGATGTTTTTTTTTTCTTGAGTATTATTTCTTGGAATATTTGGTGCGGAATAACAGAATTCCCTCTGATTGTCTTAAGAATTTAACGAACACAGAATTTCGTTTCTGATTGAATATAACACATGATTAATTAAACCGTTCGAATTTATATGCGAACATATCAAATGAATCAATTTGAATTGATGGGAGTGTTATAATTATTTATTAAAGTCAATTATATACGAAGCAAGGGGCTCTGATATTACACCTATCCCGATAAATGGATGTTCCCTCAGGAAGTGCCGATTCTGAATTAAACTCAGCCCAGACGTCAACTGAAACTCTTACATACGATCTGTTGTCCAAAAGCGTCTATGCGTCCTTGTGGTGACAAATTATTTTCCACCTTACAACCACTTTCTCCTATACGAAATGTCACAAGCTTCTCACTGCTCTTTTGCCATGTCCATGGAAAATGCTCACAGGAACTACATTCTTTAGTCCCAGCAGTTGTAACCTTAAGACCCGGCATGCTATGCACATTTTATCGAGCCACCCTTTCGAATTCCATTGGTGAGATGTAAGTTCCACTCTAACAGCTTCCTCCCACGAACCGCTGCTTCGTGGAACCGACTTCAATGAAGATACATACCAGATCACTACAATCTTAGGCTGTTGAAGTCTAGTATTAACCGTTATCTTCCCAACATATCCCCATAATCTGTGCCTCTAAATATGTAACAATCTACCTCGAGTGGTTCTTGGGCCTTCTACACGGTCGACATCATTGTAAAAAAGAAAGGAAGAAAATGGATTCAGCTGAGAAGTAATATTATTTGCTGATATAATTTCCATTTTTCGATGATATCAAATAGTCTAGAGCAGAGGTTCTTAACCTTTTGATAATTCCAGACCCCCAAATGGATTGTCCAATATGGTCCCATACCCACTTCACTTGACTGTCGAAATAATTATCACCAATCCTATTATTTGCCAGTACGTCTTCAAAATATTTCAATGGCTTGAATTTACTGTACTTTAGCTATGGATTGCTAAGAATAGAACATGAAAAAAAACCATAAGCATTGGTAACTTTATATATATATTTTTTTTTTACTGAAAGTACCTGGTTAAGGCAGTCGAGAACTTCCAGAGGGAAAATTAGGAGGAGATAACTGATAACTGACATCCATCAAACATGGCACGTGGAACTAGAAGAGTCTACCCCAGTGAGCGAAATAAAGGGTTCAGTTCGAAATTCCAACCACCAGAAGAAGGCCGGAGCGTACAACGGCCGAAACGTTGTGATAAATATGGCGACAAAGATGAGGACAATAGTCCGAATAATGTAAATAATGTAAGTAAATGCTCTGTTTATAATAAACAGTATTAACAACATTTACCGGCCTGAATGTCCGAGAATAATAAAAAAGAATGTGCAAACATAAAAATGTCTTAAAACATCTAATTTTTTTACGCCAACAGTTAGTTATTATCATACTTTTTTCGTGATATATCGGTTTCTTAATTTAGTGTGATTTTATTGATGTTGCGTAGTTTGTGTTTTATGATTAATGCTACTGAAAAAAAAAGTTATAATTCAGTTTTATTACACAAGAAAAAGGAAGAGAATTTAAATGT